ATTATCACTGTGTCTTCTGACTTTTCGCGCGCGCTGACGCGTGCGACGATGCAAAAAGTGCCTTATACCTCAGAAAATAGCATAAATCACATCCGAGTGCCTAGCTCTCAAGCGACAGTGTCACATAGTTCTGAGAAGAAGTTATGCCAACAAACCATTGCACCGACAAAGTTCTTCATCGTTCGGAGAACATGACTGTAGTGCTCGCCATCAACAACAAGAGCATTGCATTGGAATCGCGGAAAACGTCCAGATGCTGAAAATAGTCTTAAGATCACCAACTGCTCATAGTGTCAAATTGATACTCAGGAAAATACAGGAGAACCATAGAAGAAAAATTCTATTTTAGTCGTGTGATAGGGAAATAAGCAGAACAAAAATTCGAGTTCAGCGGGGTCGTGTGTATGCTGTTAGTCGGAGTTATGTGGTATGTAGGCAAGAGAATCGTAATTCGCCGCGCCAGTGAGCGTCGCGTGCGACGTCGCGCCCGCTAATGACGACGATTTTAGGTGTATTGGTCATTGGTATGACCGAAAATAGACATTAGTGTACCATGTCCTTGTCTACATGAAATCCGATGAATCGAAAGGGTAGTGCAAATAAGAAAACATCGCGCCCGTTGCCGCGCGCGACGAAGCGGCAATTTACGACTTCTCTTGCACGCGTCCCCGAGTTATCGGAGTCGTGGGTGCACAAAATGAAATAATCCTTATCAACTGGTTGAAGTTTGAGCAACTCAGCAGTGTCACGTCAACCCGATAGGTCTTCGTGCGTATGTTGCCCTCGTTGCAACCAGGAAACAGTAGCTGAATGGGTGAAATATCGGCTTCAGTACGACCACCCGCCCCAACGGCAAAGAACTACCTCCGTGACGAGATTCTCTTAACCATACCTTCACCCTGGCCACGACTCAGTACTACAGATAGACACCCAGCAAAACCAATATCGAAAACTTCAACTGAAAACGCCTTACCTACATGTCCAGGATTCAGCAGGATTGGTACAGCTCCAATAAGGAACAGAGCGAGTTCATAATAAATGTATTCTATACTGCTGTTCATACAGATCGCCACGCGAGCACTTTTTGTAATGCCATGATAAAGGAGGAAATTAGCGACTCGGTTCACATTTTTCATCAATTCCTCATAGGTAATGTATTGTCGTTCTCCAATCTCATCGATCTGAAACCATCTCCAGTATGAAGAGAGTTAAACAAAGTACGAAAAACAAGAAGAAAGGTTTGGGTGGTAGCCTGTTCTCTACCCATTTTGGCCTATGGATTCGAATTTAAATTCTAGGTTCCACTTATTCTACTGTTCTGAATTAAAAAGGTGAACGTTTGGAGGTCTGGGCACATGTAACGGGTATCAAAGATGGTGATATAAGTCCCATCGCAAAAGCAAGTTCTGCATTCAGTGGCTTATTCGTCGGGAGTTTCCCAACCAGAGTGGAGGCTTGTATTTCAGGTCGCTGGGGGCAGAGGGCTGTGTGTCGAAAAAAATATTCTTGACAAGTTGTGTTTTTTTCTTGTTTCAGGACGCCTTAAAGGAGAGCGGGGGTCGAATTGCTCGCTGTTGGGAGAGTGGGAGTCTCTACCTGCTTCTGTTTTCTGACAGAGGTTCTTGACGATCTCATCCTGTTTCCATCAACGTGCTATACCTTTCACCTACCCAATCGACAGCGAAATTTTTGGGGAAAAGTCCTGAAAATTATTCACGGAAACTAATCATTCGGGAACTTCCGGAAAAACTGGTAAGAAGTGGGGAAATCCAAGAAAAAAGTAGGAAGAAAGTATAGGTACGAGGAGGAAGGGGTCGTGTTTTCCTCGCGCTTATCCGTCTCACATTTGCTATATATAGTTTGTAACATTGCAAAGGGGGCGGCGAGCGCAGCGCGGCACGAGCTCGCGTCCGGCTGCCTTGCTCTACCAATGGTGATCGAGCAATGATCGATGTAGGAAGGAATCAGCCACTGGTGGGAAGGCCGCAGGTGGGAACCGCTGATTGCGACCCGACAGTTCGCAGTGATATAAACGTACCTCGCACTCGACAGCTTAGGTGAAGGGGGGGGGGGGGGAGTCGTACGGACTCCATCAAAATCCACAACTAATGATGTGCCCGCTTGCATTTATCTGAAATTGTCTAGGAGGATAAAAGTGAGTTGCACAACGTGAGGTCTCTGAAACTAATTCCACTGACCAGGTTCTCCCAACGAAATGCTACTGTACTTATGGAGGGAAAAGAAATGCGAAGGTCCCTTCTAGGAAGAGCATTATCGATTTTGGTTACTTTATCCCTCCGCAATTCATAAAATTCCTTTTACTACGGAAGTAAATTATTCATCGTAGTTGTTTGTATTGTCGCCATGCTTCCAATTTAGTTTGCTTGCCAAACAAGTTGTTTATAGTGAGTAGATATCAAGAAGATTGCTTCTCGGATAGAAGGGCATATGGGAATTGGTTTATCTGGTAAGAATACCCAGCTCTAACTAGCAACTCGCTGCATGTTGAAAACACTCTTGGCCCACAGTATGTAGAAGTGTCTCACGTTCGCCACTCGGATGAGCGTGGCAATGAAGCTGAAGCCTTCTGATGCTGGTCTCTGGCGACTGAGGACCACCGCAAACGCGTTAACACTCCCGAACTATAGAGAACAATGGGTTTTGAAGAATTCAAGATCTACTTTTAAGAATGATCAAGGTAATGTCCGAAATATCTATTGGGGGTACTTGTTTCATAGTCACACCTATATCGCGCCATCTTTGATTCCTATTCTCAAGACGGTTTTATGTGGATAAGGGAAGGTCCTGAAATGTTCTACATGGAATTTGAATGGACGCATGCGGAGTAGGAGAATAACGGAAGGCATTCAATCAGTTGAACCTCGAACAGTTCGCAAAAGAGCATAATAAACTTTATCGGAAGTTTTGTGTTTCAACTTTTCTTCTGCGCTAACAGAGCTGTAAAATGGTAAGTGAAATAGTATTGAGGAATAAAACAAACTGTTTCTGTAAGGATATGACGAAACTTTGACAAGTTCCCTGAAACTCTAATTAAGTAATAGGTCGTAGTTCTTGATTCTTGTCAAGTTCCACATCTTAACCCTCAGTTCATTCCTAAGAGCGCGTTCATACTTTGCGATCGCACCATCGGATCGCGCTATTGCGACCGGGGCGCTAAGCCTCCAGTATTTCAAGAGTACCAACCGGAAGAGAAATATAGTAAAACACAACACCTTAAGAAGTAGCATGCCCCAGAACGTGTGAAATCGCAAGGCATGCGTGCACAGAAAGTTATAAGAAAAAATGGAGTAGCGCATGAATGCGGCCTAAGTGGATTCTGTTGTTATGGCAGTTCACTGATTGGCGATGGAGCGCACTCGGTCGCAATCGATCCAGTTGAGGGACCCGATTGCATGATCCAATCGCGCGATCGCGAAGTATGAATGCGCTCTGGCAGGCATCTCTTGAGTGATTACAGTTGCAAGCAGCCATTCTTCAACAGCTTATAAATTGAACGGGAAATGTAAGCTACAGCTCAGTGAATCATTCATTTATACCACGAACAGGAGATTTCATCGAAAAAAATCATTAACTTGTTGATTGAATTTATGTGATTCGAACTTCGCACTAGCTTGAGGCGCTAATAACCATGATAGGGTTGGGGAAAGAGAGCACCTGTAGGCGCTTCTCAGCGCACCAAATCCCGCAAACTGTGTACATGGGAATAGCGGACTATCTTTTCAATACCCTGTAAACCTTCTTGCAGGAGCTTACCTGCATCCCGCAAGCTCCTAACAAATTTGTAAAAATGCCCGGGTAAAGATCAGAAGAAAATGGAAAGATAGCGTTGTAAAGGCGCTAGTACCATTTCGTCAAGCGTGACAGGAGTTCGAAAGGTACTTGGCATTTACCTACAGGAAGTAACAGGACCAGTAGGGTGAGACAAGATTGCGAAAAGGCAAAGGAAAAGGAAAATACAAAATATACATTAAAAAGCTTACAGGGTACAGGCTTTGAGCACCTGCAAGGATTATTGGAGCCGCGATTTTCTGCTCAATCAACAGTTGTCTTTCTGCTCAATCAGCAGTTGTCTTTTATATTTCTATATTTTTATATTTGGCGGAGGTGGCGTGCTTGCCATTCGCGCGGCGTTGGGTTCAAATCCCGGGCCGATTTCCGCTCAAGCCAACCAAGCTTTCTACCCTCCGGGGACGGCAATAAGCCACTACGATTCTGAATGGAAGTGGAATGCGTACCGCATCCCACGAGATTGATCAACGGCGAAGACTTTTCCTTTTTATTTTTATTTGTATATTCATGAAACATGTTTAAAAGCTTACCAGAGCCACATGTTCCGGTGATTTTTCGAGCACATTAGTAATTCGCGAAAATAGCCATCGACTCCAAGATTTGCATTCCTCTCGTGGTCTATCTCGTTCAGTTAGCAATCGAATCGGAGTAACCACTTCAGGTTTAATAACATCTAATACAGTCGGAATTTGTATGTCGTCGGCAGGTATACTGGCCACGTCGTCTTGTTCAACAGATCCCGTATCAGTCGATGGTGTTTCATCCACGGATACAGTAACCGCGTACTGTGATAAATCGAAGCGTTCGAGAGTCGGATAAATCGAAATCGTCTCCATTCAGATCAGAGAAAATCTGAGAGATGAATAACTGCAGCAAGTCAATGTGAACAGTGGATAGAGAGATAGCTGTTTGTTCGTGACGATCTCTGGCGCAAAGGAGTTCAGCGCGCGGGCACTCTCCGAAGATACTTATCCCATCGTTAGTCGACGCTCGACTAGTATTCGCTATGCCAATCAATGTTTGCTACTAATCAGTAATCATTTTGATACACATAAGATTATTTTCTGATTCACTCACCGGAGAAAATAGAGACGGTCTTCAGTCTGATCAACTGGCACCAGAAAAATGCAAGTTAAAGCGCAAACATTTTCATTGGCCATGCTCTGACGGTACATGAAAAAAGATATACTCTTGTACTGCAATATTAGACGCTGCTCGGCTTGGGAGGGGCATTTCTCCCCCTACGCTAGTTCATGGTAACAAAGAGAGGCTCTGTGGTGAGACCTCCGAACTCTTGTAAAACTGCAAAATGCTACAAGATTCAATTGGGCTACAAGAACTTGTAGGTTTTCATAAGTCTACGCAGGCTTCACTGAGTACCATTTTTTGCCCCCACCAAGTTAACGGTACCCACTATTACTAGTTTCGAGCCCCAGAATAAGGGGGATGAGAGGGCCAAAATTACGCCACGTTCAGATGTGCTTTTTACTTTCTCCCGTCACTAGGGTACCTCGCGTGGTATCATAAATAAATATTCAAAGCCTCCACTGTTGATTAAACACAATCCGAGATGCGCCATGCATTCTATGTCCACCGATAATCATAGCTACATGTTGGATGAGCTAGCTAGCTGATTTATACAGCGCCTAGCTGTAGCCGGAAGATCTTCGAATCACTGTGGTCCCTCCCAGGTGGGCGCTAATTAACCGACTTCAACGACTGGAAGATTTGGTAGCTTGGAGTCCACCTGGACTGCGAATTGTGCGCAGAAAAAGCGGAGCCAAACACCACTACAATGCCGCCTGT